TTATCTCCACACTTAAACTATCTGGTGCTGAAGTATGTCTCTTTCTTGGCTGAGCCATATAACTGAAGAGGCGTTCATCTTGGGATTCAGTTTTATAATCATTATTGTCTGAGGACTCTGTTTCAGTTGAACATTTCAATTTGATTGTTCGTGACGCCTCAGTTCTTAGCTTTTCAGTCAACATGCCCACTTTCTCTGGTTCACACCATTTAAGCTTAAACCTTGGATCCAGGATAGCAGCTGTTGTGAATAAATCATCATCTTCATAAACAGACATTATTTTTTGTAAAGAACGTTTCAGAGCTTGTGTCATTTTGTTGTTGTATGTGACAGAAATGTTGTCCATAGCATGTCTCAGACCAATGGTAAGTGGTACAGCCAAACTTGCAAACTCATTACTTTGCACCATGACAGTTGCTTCCTCAAAAGGATTTAAAATTAAACACAGTTCACGTGAAAGTTTACGCTCATAAGAGGATATTTTGGCAGTATCAAGCTTATTCAACTTCTCCTCTGAAATATCAAGCACAGATTTTATCATACGTAACTGTGAATTCCATCTCGATACGTTAGCACACTGTAACCTTTTCTCGCCTTCAAGGATTTCTGTGGCAATTAAAGATCTCCTTGCAAAATTGACCACAGTGGAAACTTTTGCTAGGACACTGTTCAGACTAGAACTGCTTTCTTTAAACCCATCCTTTACCACAAGTTGTAATGTATGGGCAAAACAACGACGGTGCTTAGTAACACTAATTCCAAAATCAACATCTGAATCTAACCCAGTCTCTGGTTGGGTATCTTCCGTAGAATCCATTTCATCCTCACTATCAGATGTGGTGCTGTGCATGCCTTGTTCATCAACAAATCCAGGTAGTGGAAAGTCAAAAGCCTTTGTCATATTGACAGCATTATCAGTGACAATACAAGATATTTTATTACCAATGTCAAAACACGCAAGGCATACTTCGAATTCTTGCCTGATGTTTTCAGCTGTGTGAGATCCCTTGAATCTTTTACAGGAAATCATAACAGTCTTGAGTGTCCAGTCAAGGATGAAATGACCTGTTATTCCCAGAAACCCACGCATTGTCTGTTTGACCATAAATCTATTGTTAAAGCAACACTTTTGGCATTTTGTAATTGTTTATTCAAGTTAGTTTGAACCTTTGAGGATTTTTGGTGAAGAGTTTTTTGAGTTAGTGTTTTCCTGTCTGGTATTTGATATTTTGGATCCAAACAATTTATAAGTTTTCTAAAATTTGGACGGTTAACTAGTGGAAGTGGCATCAAATCTCCTGCAATGAAGTAAATTAAGGCATCTGTTATCTGACTCTGACGTGGATCATTTACAGAATATTTGTTGGTTGACAAAACATATCTGTTCATACGAGTCTGGTCAGATTTTGATGGTGATGAGGACGAAGTCTCCTTGAGGGTGATATACTCATCCCTGTGCTTCCGCTGAAAAAGGAACATCTTTTGTAGTTTGGGATATGCATATATAGTAACATGAGTGTGCATTTGAAATAACTGAAATTGAGTTAAATGAGCTAAAACAAACATCTTAAACCAAGCAAATTATAGTATAAAAGGGATTATAACTGAGCTGCTAGTTAGTATGCTTCTTACTTTTGATGTGGTAATACACAAAAGGATACATGTAGCTAATTTTTAAAAGATCTATATTTTTTTGCTTTTACTTTTAAAAGTTGAATTGAGAAACATTTGTAAAGCACTAAGTTAAACAAAATTATGTCTAAGAAGTAAATGGGTTTGTAAAAGAAATTTTTTACTTACCTTTAAATGGGTGAGAAAATTAGAGGTAGTTTTGTGCTTCCAGAGATTACTGAGGTGCATATTTTGCACTTTGCTTTTATTGGCCCTTCAACTCCAGGTGGAACATCCAAATATAGAAGTGGTGTTTTTTTCGACATGATGGCAAGAAATGAAATGAAAACCTTCAAGTGTTTTGATAAGTTCTCACTTGAAACTAACATATACCACCTGACCTGTTCAGTGTTCTTAAAAGTTCTCACTTTAAACTTGCATAGGTATAGCACCTGACCTGTGTTCAGTGTTGTGGAAAGATATTCCTTTTCTGGGCTGCAAAACCCATGTCCACTGTAACTCATTATCTCATAATTATCAACTGGTGACCATAGCCCTAGGCACAGGTACAGTCATTTTAAAGGTCCGAGTACACGTAAACAATTATTAATTGATATAAATGATCCAGTGGCCTTTAAAAATCAATATATTTTTGTTCTACATTGGCTTTTAAAATCTTTTTGTTGTAGTTTGCCTACGAAGATATAACTTCATAATCATGGTAATGTTAACTGGTCCTCAAGTAATTTAAAACCTGAATTAAAATACAACTAAATCACAAATAATAAATAAATATAGGGAAAAAATTCAATACATTTAAAGCTATTTTAGACATTCACTCGTAATTTAAATGTAATCATGCTTACGTAATCAGAAAGTAATCAAAAAGTAATCAGAATTACAGGAAATTCTAGACCTTAATTGATTAAATTACATTACAAGTAATCAGATTTTCCATGATTACTGATTACATTTGATTACATGCAAAAATGTAATCAATTACAGCTGATTACAATTACAATTACTGATTACCACATGACTGAGTGTGATGATGCTAATGTTGATAAGTGACCGTAATGATGCTGATGGTATGTGATGATGCTAATGTGTGACGAGGATGATGATTGTATATGATGACGTTGATGTCAGATGCTGATGTTGTTTGTATATGTAACAATGCTGGAGTGCTAGTATGGCTGCAAGTTATAAACATATATTTAGAGTGATTGTGTTACATAGTGTCTATGATAGTTAAGATATAGTGTGCAACTCAAAATCCTGTGTGTTTAGTGGTGAAAATGATGCATGACTATTCTCTGTAAGTGTGTGACGGTGGAAGTTATAGACTGATACTATGTATGAATCTATTTATTCCTCATGTGTTTTTCGATAAATAAAAAATTAAAAAAAAAATAAATAAATAAAAAAAAATGTTTATTTTTATCCCTTTTTGTAACCCAAGAGAAGCATTTCTGAAACTTGTGTTGCTTCAATCAGGAATGAAATAATATATTCCCTTTCATAATCCTTACTTTGTCTAATGACTCCATTCTTGTTTTCAGCTCTTTCTCTAGTTTATTAGTGTACTTTCCTTCCATTGTGATAGAGAGACATTAAAATATGATCATTTGGATACCTCATGTATTGTTTATACTCCTAATTACTCAATGTCAGGGACGTATGATAAACATCCTTCTTAATATCACAATTTTCCCTCGCATCACCTCGTCTTCAAAAACGATTTTAATGTTTATTGTTTTCCATGTTGTAGATGGGTATCATCGTTATTGTGGCATTCGTGTATTATAGATATATATTTCCTCGGTGAAATAAAACTAGTAAATAGCTTCGCGGTCTTATAAATATGTATTACAAGTACGTGATCTCTATCAGTCCTCGGGAAAATCTGACTCGTCACTGACATTGAGTAATCTTCCGCCTTAGAATTCTCAAAATTTGAACCCGCGCTTTATAAGGCTCCATTCTGAAAAATGTCGGAATGAGGATAAGACTTATGAAGTCTAACTAATCATTACTGACATTATCTTTCCAGTTTGCTAAGTTACGATTTTTGTGCAAGACGTCGACAACTCATAAACACTGACATCATAGGGTTTCCAGAGATAGAGATTGATGAAGATTATAGGAAACTTCTACCGTCGTCATAACTTCGTCGAGAGATATTGTAGTTCTTTTGTTTGCTTTATGAAGCTGGACAAACTTACTGTCGGATTCAGAGGTAGGCGCACACTGGCCCCGGGAAAACTGACACCTTCACGTTTGCGAAAAGGATTCCTGCATTTCTTCCGAGAAAAGGCGACAAGCCTCAGTTTCAGTCGAAATCCAAGAAGCGTTTTTTTTTTCGATGACTAACAGTTTAGCTATATGGGACTGGACTTGGTGATTTATTGAGATCTTATGTCTCGATTGCTTTCAAAACCAGTTCGTCTGTGATCTCAATATCGCTGTGTTCATAAACAATCACTGGTTAGACAAGAAATGTGTTACGTGGTTGGTTGACAGGTGTTCCGTCTCCGTGATTCCTCCCGTTGCCGGATATCGTCTCACCGACGAATTTAGGTATTCTAGCGACTTTTATGAATGCGTTGCTATAATCATGCACATATATTCTGCGGTTGCTTCTGTCATTTTATCATCCAGCACAGTAATTACTGAAGTGATGGAATATTTGGTTTTTGTTTCGGATCGACCGTAATTCTAGACGAGCGCTTTGGATTTATTTTAATAATCATAAGTGACTTAGGGAAGTGGGATAGACACCCACACATCTCACTCCCTTTCCATCCCTTCGTGTTTAGTGACGTTGTTTTGCACGCTTTTGGTAACGCTGCATCCTCTTCACCTTAGGGATTACAATTACTTTCGCTCTCTACAGCTCTTGAAGATGCCATAGCAAAATTGAAGGTTCCATGTACAACACCTTGTGGTCAAGACGAGAAGGCTAGTTTGATCCTTTGATGTACTTCAAAGAGGTGTTCTCCGTTTTTCTTACCTTGATATTTACTTGAGATTTACCTGTGTTACTCACAACCTATCGTCATATAACTGAGATATTAAACTGAATTTAAAAAATACTGAATAATTAAGTTTGATTTCATTCAGCACTAAACGTATCGAATATGGTAAAACTGGTAAATGTGGGTTGTTTAAATAGCAGTGTATTCTTAACTGTTTAGACAGTCTTATGTTCCATGTACGGTAGTTTTCGTGAGTCTGTGTGAGTTATTGAGTTTCCTTTTATTTACTGGTGTGTGTTTTTGTGTAACTGAATTTATCAGCTCAATAAGTTTGTTAAATTTCGCGCGGAATTTTGCTTTGAGTTATTCCCCTTTGCAGAAATCTTTCTACGTAACCGCGGGTGTTCATTGGGGAGTGTTTACTCTCGTAAACATCAGTTAATATGTTTGTTTACTTACGTAGAGGTCATCCATAATTGAAATCATTTGGTTCTTTTGGGACATCATTGAATTCGCGTGCTAGAACGAGAAACAAAATACTTTGTCACTGGAGTGCACCATTAATTGCCATTGGTGTCCTGCCATCGACCGACTGATATCCTTCGTGTACTCTGTCCCAGGCCGTCTGTGATCTGAAGTGACGGAAACTTACATCCTATCACAATGTTGTAAAATCTTGTGCTTGCTATCTGTTGGACCGGAGTGATATCGTAACAGTCTAGCTCAGTTGCAAGAAGACAAGACGACCTCAACTTGAGTTTTGCGGTGATGGATATAAAACAAAGTAATCATAATTACTTAATTAGGACCTATATGACCTCGATCAAATTTTAAGTGTGATTATATTTTGGAAAAATTATATCTCTTGGAAATATAAATAAGATATTAAAATATGGTTAATACCTGTTACAATAATAGCCCTTGCAATGCCAGTTATGTGATATTTCTTTTTCTTAAAGTATTTTTTCTGAATACACTATATCATAAGTCTATCTGCTTTCCACATAGCTGGATATGTACAAGTCTAATTAATTGTTGATAAGTGTATTGTATTGCCCCATTTCAGCATTTCCCCTCCCAGGCCAGTGTGGTATTTGTCATTTTATTTACTCCTTGATCCTTGAATGTGAAAAGGGTAAAGACCATTTACAAAATTTTGCTTGGCCAAATTATTTTATAATTATAAAGTATGATTATATATACCAGCTGGTGATGTCATCATTTTCATTCTATGATTCACTACATGTATATTCTGTGACATTTCTTTTAGTGAAACATTGTCACTTAGTGAAATTTGATGCGAATAGTGTATAATAACAAGACACTTTTCCTACTATATATAACTGTCACCTCTAAGTATATGCAGCTTGTTTAGAGCAACTTCAAGACCAGCTGATGAAATGTTGTTTCTCAAAGTAATACACAACACTAAAAAGTGTGGCTTGGTACCAATTTTGCCACAAATATTTACTGATACTTTTTAAAATAATATCAATTCAGTCACAATAGAGATCTTTATAAATATAGTATACAGTTTTTTCGTTAATCCAGTATCATTAAGACTTGGTAAAACATTACTTAAGCATAATTAAACTGGGGAAAGAGGACAAATGGTCTTTGAATTCAGGGTCAAAGGTCAAAAGCCAACAGTGACATTTTGTATGTTCTGGTCATTGTACTAGAAATTAAAATGGGAGCTCAAATCAATAAGGAATCAGCTGGCTGTTGCAACCTCAAGTGGATCTCATAGGGCATTGATCTCTTATACACAGGGAAAATCCTTGGAGCAGAGCGTAAGAACAATGAATAGGCCATTTTCAGCAATTTTAGTTAATTTTTGGAAAATGGTAAAAGAATGGCAAATTTATGGTAGTCAACTTTAGTTTTGAATTGAGAGGCCCAGGGACTCCTTTAGGTTCAGTGATTGAAGAAGCCACATGTAACTGCATTGAGATCCTGCTTCAAAAAAGCCCATGAGTAATGCAGTCAGCAAACAAACAACATCAGTAAAACACCATAGCAATGTAATTATAATATGAGGGCAAGAAAATAAACATTCAATCAGATTAAAGTTATGATTATTATTATATGTTGTAGGTCAAAGGTCACAAGTATGTTTTCTTCACCATATCAACTTCATTTCCACTTAGGAATGCTTTTAATTCCTTCTAATGCAAGCATTTGATTATTACATGAACTGCTGTTGTTAACTTAATGGTATTGAGGTCATCATTGATATAGGTTTTGTACTATCAGTTCTGATTTGATAAACTTCAATCAATAATAACTATAGATCTGAATGAAATCTTCAGTCATTCTACAATTCTATGGACTGATTTTTTTTCACACATGTTCATGCAATAGAATTGTGTATTTTTTATTCCAGGCCTTTAGAATTGATTTATTAATGTAGTTATTTCATCTTGTGAAAATATTAACAGAAATGTAGTTTTTATACAGAGTTGTAATGTATATGTTACAAATGACACAAAGATTATTGATAGGTCGTCTCCCTGATCCAATCCAAAAGGTGTATAACAACTAAAGGGAATACCCTATCTGATACACATAGATGATGGACACTTTGTTTAATTATTAAACCGTGTTCATGTTACTTTCATGTAGATTACAGTGAAATTTATTTGTAAAATTGTGCATTCTAGAAAATATAATTGCTGTTCAAGTCTGCTATAATCTGATGAATTGGAAGTGTTTGTATTTTGATAAAAACATGATCACCTGTTAAAAATAATGATCTGTTCTATTTATCAGTACATCTGAACCATCAAATGAAATAATTAAACCAGTCATTGAATCATTAATAAATTTGAATAACACTTATGGTGTATACATTGTAGGTTAAAGATTGAACATTTAGCTATATTTATTGTACCTAAAACTTTGAGTAACATTGTACCTTTTATGTTGTATTTTCAGATGGTGGGGAACATGCACATGTTCACTTTGAAGCAGAGCAGGTTAAATCACATGACCTTGAGATTCAACTTAAGTATGTGAATGAAGGTCATATAGAAGTACACCTTGGGTTCCTTCAGATGTTCCACCACTACACAGTCAAATTCTGTATCCGTGACCGCCTCACAGAGGACATAGTTGCAGATCCGTCTAAAAACCTATATGTTCAACTGAAAGACTACAGTCCTACAGAAGATGGTAGGAATAAGAGTGATTCATGTTTATAACTGAATTGATTTCTAATGCTGGCTTTTGTGGTTCTTTTAATTAAAAAATCATAAATACTTGTATGATGGCTTGAAGTAATGTTGAAATAACAGATCGTAAGCTCCAGTGTACATTTTTGTAAATGACAGGCATTCAGTGCTGTAATAAGGAAAGTGAAAATATAGATAAATATGGTTTGGTAATGAAATGGATTTGACAAAAGTATTTTTATTCATATGATATGTTGCTTTGAAATAAAGTTAAGTCTTGGTTCTATAAATACAAAGAAAATGAAAGAAACCAGGCCCCACTTGTATAAAACATCTCAACTTGAGATTTCCTCAAGTCGAGATTATCCTCAGCTGATATCTCCTCAAAAACGGCTTGTATAAAATTTTCTCAAGGAACAGGAGGAAGGCATCAGCTAGGATGTCCTGAAATCCCTTGAGGAATTTTCATACAAGATATTTTCAAGGAGACATTAGCTGAGGAAAATCTGGGCTTGAGGAAATCTGAAATTGAGATATTTTATACAAGAGAAACCAGGTAATTATGTGTCTTTTTCATCTTTGAAAGGTCAAGGCCACAACATTGAAGTGGAATTTCATGCTATCAAGGACAAGCTGGTAAATGAAGTATTGACAATAAAAAGCAGCACAGATGAAAGTCAAACAGTGGAGCTAATGTTCAAGGCCAGGGTTATGGGTAAGGATTATTTCTTTTTCTACATCCTCTGTGTTATTACTCATGCATATCCATATCAAAGTATTTGACAAGATAGGGGGTCAACAGAGATCAATTTTCCATTTATTTTCAACATTTTTGCTAAAAAAATGGTTTCCACAATGTAAAATTTAAGGTTTTTCCTGAAATTCTGTGAATCTCATCAAAATTCTATGAATCCAGGACTTTGAATTCACATGTAAATGTATCAATGAGTCAACACATTAACTAAGAGTTAATGAACTTACATTTAAAGACAATAAAGTAGTATATGTTCCAAAGAACAGAAGTAGATATAGTGGGCTTATTATCAGGCATGGGCTTATTGCTGGATAAAAAAAACCTTCATTTGCTAGAACACTGTAAGAACTTTTGAAATGTGTTGTTTCATACAATGATCATACACAATAGTGATGTAACCCTTGCTATGTCTCTGTAGTATACATCACACAAGGAATTGTGTCTCATCCATATATACACAAGAGACTATAAAAATACAAAACTATCACTGTAGTACAAATGTAGTTATTCCCTTTCACTTGCACAAGTGACAGATGAATAAATGTAGTGCTAGAGAGTACCAGACACCGGGGATGGATTACATATGCATTCATACTGTTTGGCAACATTATGAATAGTGACAAAGGACTGATGAGTGCACAATTATACCACACATACACCAGTGGCATGCATATGTCAATATTCCTGCAACTTGCTTTCTCCCTACACTCTATGTTCTTGTTTTGACACCAGCACAGGAGGGACACATGTTAATATGTATACCTTAGTGCATTAAGTACGCCCTGTTACAGTGATATGAAATCTGGGAATAGGGTACTTAGTTTTCACATACAGATTATCTCCTATAAAATACCAGCCTCAAATACCTCATGTCAGAGACTTTGTTGAATTGTTTAATACTGACAAATAAAAAAATGTGAATTTTCTTGTAAAGTCACAATAGAGGACAAATGAAAATAATATTTCTGTTTTAGGGAAAGGAAAAGGTGTACCTGCTATCAAGAATGGTATTCACTGTTACAAGGTGGATGCTGAAGATGACACAGATGCTAACAGTGACTGGCAAGGCTTCAACTGAACATACAAAGACATCTAATAATCAAATGATACCTTCCATATGTATTTATGTTGGTTCTTGCGCTCAAGTTATATAGCTAATAGTGTTAATCAATAATTTGGTTAGGTGTGGAAATATCCATCATCTTATAACTTGTTCACTGACCATTGATATTCACGTGGCTTCCAATACTAGGTGAATGTATATGTATGCTTAAATATGTGGTACACGATACCATCTTATGATGCCCAAGCATTTAATATCCTGGAGGCATATGTAAGTATATAATGCATGTCTCTCTGTCCCAAGTTATTGCCTTAAGTTATTGCCCTATCCTCATTTCATCATTGTTGTAGAATTTTACTCCGTTATGCATTACCACCATGTGGGGTCTAGGTTACTGTTACTTGTAATCGTATTTTGCCAGAATTAGCCATATAGCCCTTTGTTTGTTACTTAACTTTTTCCTTGATGACTCCATATTGAAATGCATTACCCCCTGAAAATTTTGCACACCGATTTTACATCAATAAGGCCAGAGTCAAAAATCTTACCAATCAGCATGGAATTTTCTTGGGCTTGATATCTTGAATGAAAATTACACATAGTTTTTAAAATCGCTGGTAACAAATCACAGACTTCAGTCAAAAGTCAGATCCATAACTGAAATCTGCTAAAATAACACCAGATGAATTATTTCTAATCTAGGGACAATCAAACGGACTGAATATGGCTATTTTATCATGACTTTACTGTAGGTCAATATATGAAAGGTTAAAGAGAGGAAATGGTTGTTTTCTCTAGTTATATCTTTTTATAAAACATCTGATGCTGGCAGGGTACCAACTCAATCATATAAAGCACTATCAATTTTTACTAGATACTAAGTTTTATCCCTATGTTTTGTCTTATATATTTTGGACAATTTGCTTCAGGACTAAACTGCATATGGAGACCTCTAGATCTTTGATTATGGCATATTTGATTTTGTCGGAGTCACCTCAGCTTCAGAGAGCCACTATGCTGGAGTCTGATAAAAGTTTTTACCATTCCAGACCTAGCTACACTGCTGATTGGATGAGCTGGCCTGTTTTTCTTCAGCTTATCTGACCAATCTAGATAATCTTAGATTCTGTTGACCTTTGGACTGCTGACCTTGGGTTAACTGATCATGTGCTTTTTGATCCTGTTGTTCCTTGTCTTATTTGTTTTATTGAATAATTTGCTATTGTAACCCTGGTAAAATACTAGCCGCAATATACCACTCGGCTAGAGAGAACTTCTCTTTAGCTCGATTGGTTGAGCGTCAGACTAGTAAGCCAGGGGTCCCGGGTTCGATTCCTAGCGGAGGCATTTAGATAAAAAATGACCTCTGTTACATTGGCGCCCATGTAGGGACCCGGGATTAGTACTTAGCCATGCCCCATCGGCATCGCTGTAGCCCCTGGAAACTCGAGGACGAGTTATTTCCTGGAGGGGGAGTATGTAACCCTGGTAAAATACTAGCCGCAATATACCACTCGGCTAGAGAGAACTTCTCTTTAGCTCGATTGGTTGAGCATCAGACTAGTAAGCCAGGGGTCCCGGGTTCGATTCCTAGCGGAGGCATTTAGATAAAAAATGACTTCTGTTACACTATCTTAACTGAGCAGGTTCATTTGTCCATATTCAATTAAGGTGTTTTTTTTTTTATCTAAACGTTCAAAGTTTGTTGGAAAAGTATACATACCCCCGACTGCTGAGTTGTTTTTAAATTTTCCTCTGGAATCACTCGCACAACCATGTTAAAAACACAACCTACTTTTTCTACAAAATGTGTAGTCTATCCTGTTGTCTTTAGTATGCTGTAAAGTTCATTGTCACTCTAAGTTTTCTGTCAACTTTAAATCTTTTTGGAGCTGATTGTTGTAATGGCCAGTCAAAATGTTTTTGGTCATTGAATTAGATGGTATGGTAATTTTGTAAGAATTTCATTCTGTCACATTATTTAGCTTTTCTGCGTTTTAGATATAAAGGGACAGAACATGTAACTTGTATTTACTACTAATCATTATATACAAAAAATCTAACAATCAATGTAGAATATTTGTCATACCTTATATACATTCATTTTTTGTACATATACGGTAGATAAAAAATAATCATGAATTAGGAGAAAAAAAGGACAATGTTCTTAGGACTCCCCTATTTTAATGATATGTGGGAAATACTACATATTGGCAGGTAGTGGTACTATAATTATAACCTATTGAGAGTTATCAGTATCAGCTGAAAGATTCTGTAATTTTCAATTCCTTGCTTGCTCAGTTGATTTAGATCTGATCTTTTGAAATATACATGTACAAACTCATTGAAATACTTTTGGTACTGTATCAGCTAAATATTTTATATTACAAATTCATGAAAAGAAAGAAAAATGAATTTAGGGTAACGTTATGACTTGGATGCATAAATGATAAATATGTCATATTTGATAATAAAGATATCGTCTTTATAATGAGATTTTATCATCATGAGTGTGGTGCTGGGGGAAAAAACTGAATGGTAATTCTTATGATACAGTGTTTCTTGTTGTCTCAGCAGTTTTGGTGCTTATTTTGCATCATCTTAAATTCTTTTATTTTGTGACATGGCAACTACACTACCAAAGTACTTTATGACCTTTTAGAAGACTATAGAAGACTTTTTAGAAAATTTTATTTGTTCTGTTACATCCTGTATAATCTAGTTCGGGGTTGTTTCAGAATATATTTTTTATATATTGCTTGTGTTATGGTTCTTCTTGAACTTAGAATCTTCTCAAATGTTGCTAATATAGTCAACTTGACATCAGTGTCATTGCACCTTAAAAAGGTTTTTCAAGCAGTACTAGATGAAAAAGTCAAGGGGTTGTTGATTTTACATAGTTCCAACATTCAATAAGAACTGTTATCAATATGCTAAACATGATTTTTCCTGTTTTTAGGCCTAAAACGTGTAAATTTGTACTTACATAGAAATATACATGAACTGTCATCAATAGCTTTGCTGTTACAAGACAGTTCTTGTTATATTATTCTGGTGCTACTGTACATGTAGATCACATGAGTACTAGCCTGGTCTATCAATGTACTTATATATCAATGTCACATGCAGAACTTCTTTTGGTTGCGTTATTAAAGCTTTCTTCTATTGATGTTACCAACCTGAAGAAAATGTTACACAATATGGCTAGTACTTCTGTGTAGGTCATGCCCTGTTACTCTGTACAAGATTGATGATCATTTAATTTACCAAACATTTTCTGATGCAAAATGTAGTATTTTGTTCCATGGTAATGTCATCAAAAATGTTGTTGTTGATATGAATGAAATGTTTGATTCACATTCATTTGCTGTGTAATTAAGTATCTATTTATTTTTTTGTTTTTCAAAGATCATACACACCTTCTCACACATGCACATTTCAGCTTATATATAAAAACAGAATGAACTGCTTTAAGACTGTAGTATACATGTAAACATTAACCAAAACTGGGTGTTGTTCAGAGTTCTGTACTGAACATGAGTGTGTGACAGGATAATTCTTCACTCTGCTGAGTTATTGGCTTATATATTTTATACGATTTTTTTGTAGTTTTTCAATTTACATTATATAATCATGTGTATTGATTAAATATGGTACTTTGTATTGATTTTTGTTGTTATTACTTAATTGAAGTGTTTAAAATCTGGTCCATGATGTAGTTTCAGGTGATAGTCACATAACCAGAAGGTTGTCTTTGAGCCCTCGATTTCCTCAGCAGGGTTTGGGCTGTAAACATGTACAGTACTAAATGGGCAACATTCCCAATTGCAAAACTTTAATATTTTACCATAATATCAATAACACAGTACTAATAACTGTTAACATCATCTATGATCTGCCTGACTGTCAGCAACGTTGTTTCTCAAAACAGAAAATACACACTTAGGTAAAACATATTACGAAATTTGAGAATGATCCATCCAACACTTACCAAGAAATAGATGTAGCGATTACAAATGGCTATCGAAGTGATAAAAGACACCTGTAATGGAACGAACATGAAATATGTCAAAATTTTCAATTATCACATATCAAAGTACTGGTGTAAAAACGAACTTAGCTAGTCTCATGTTATTCTTTAAAGCATAGAAAGCGTTTCCAAGTACAGAAACCAAAGATTTGTTCATACAGCCTAACCCCTTTAATACTACACCTTAAGTACCTTACTTCGAAAACTAATTTGTTATAGCGGTTAGATAAGTATGCTACAATGTTAGGGCGGACAGATTTCTAAGGAAGATGATTCCTGCAACCCAGCCTGTACTGTGGCATGTCATGAAGAGTTATAAATTTTATTCAATTAAATGACTTTGACCTTCTTGTATGGTTACAGAGGTCTGGTGTGTTAAAATCTTTATACATCTTTTTCTCAATATTCAAAAGACTGATGATCATAATTGTAACCTCGCAATGAAGTTAAGGTTTAGGTGGGAGGGTGCTTGGTAACACTAGAATCTGTTTGTCTGTAGATAAAATTTGCCTGACTTTGTAATTGCTCAGTTTGTCTTTTTTCTCAAATTTCATGGTGCCAGTACAATATGGAATTGTGCTCTCTGTCATGAATTTGTATTCCGACTATGGTCAAGGGTCAAGGGTCAAGGTTCCTTTATGTGTGCGAGATGTCAGTTTTAAATTGTGATGTGCTTCCGAAGTGATTTTACATTTCAACCCTTTTATTTTAGGTAGTGTTATGCTCCATAATGGGAAAATGTACAACATTCTATATAAAGAACTACAACCAAATTGAGATGGGCCCGCTAAATAGTATTGTATTACAATTCTCTTGAATTATTGTTTCCATCAATTTAAAAAAAAGTTACATTCTAAATCTTTTTGGAAAAATTATGCTTCTTTAAGTAACAATTTCATCTGAACTTTGCTTATTTTAAGACGGATTTCTTTTCAATGTTTTTCGGATTGCAGTGTTTCTCTAGTGCAGTTGTATAAAGAGTCTCTTTCCCAGAACTTAGCCCCAGTATGTTGATAGTTAACAAAACATTGTCTTGAGTTTCATTACTTTACATACAATATGTGTACTGTAAAGAAGAGGTATGATGTTTTGGATGAACATGAAAGTTACCAGAAAATAAATTAGTATTAACGTGTCTTTATAAGATGTAGGTGAGCGATACAATCCCATTGGTCCTATTGTTGTTCTGATATTTCGATAGCCACGTCAGTGGAGCGATGGTTGAGTGGTTGAGTCATTTGGCAGTCTTTATCACTAGCTCTCCGCCTCTGGGTCGTGGGTTCGAAGCCTGTGTGAGGCAGTCACCTGGTATTTGCTGCAGGTCAGTGGTTTTTCGCCGGGAAATCCGGCTTTCCTCCACCAACCAAACTAGACAGATCCTGAAATGACTATAGCTTTTAATAGGATATAATTGGTAGAGCATCAGGCAAATACAGCTAATTTTATTTCTTAAAATAGATGTTTTCCACAATGTTAGCAGATATCTAATGTTGTATGCAATACTAGTTTTTGGCTGCAAATGGCATCTTCAACTTCTTTTCCGTAGAGGGCTCATTTAAGAATGTCATATTACTTATTTGCATTGATCAAATTTTACATGGCGGATGTCGTCGATGAAGTAAAAGACGCTTTCTCTTCCAGAACACCTTATCTTAGTCTTCATGTAAATATTTCTTCTGTCATATTTTACCCTAGTTTTATTGAATTTGAGTTTGGATTATGACGACGTTGAAGTGTTGGTATTTTATTAGTTTTTTTTTCACCGGTTGTTGATAGCGATTGATTTCATTGTACGAGTCCTTCATATACAGATTAACACCCACGTGCACATCCCTCCTATTTGATATACATAATTACGAGAGGTATAAAATTGGTGTTACAGAAATTAAATAAGATTTAACTTTTGATTGGTATTTCTTCCGAAATTACAATGTTTTAAACTTGATACTTTTTACATCAAAATTCACGTATAAAGATTTTAAAAATCTTCTTTGTCCATATAAAGTACACTACCAATACCTTTCCATTTGGTTGATACAATCGTTACAGCACAGGTTAAGGAATTATGTTGTAGCTACAGGTGTTGCTGTTTATGTGTGTTTTTTTCTATTATTTATAACCATATTTTTGGACTTGCAAATGTGTTGTTTATTTTTTCATCAAAACACATTTTTCGGTTTTTTAAAGACTTTTAATTTCATGAGTATTTGGAAATAATGGAAATATTTTGATTTTTTTCTGGCTTTGAATCGTACAGAAGTCTTAAATTATTTGTCTGACCACGAACTTTCAAGAATGACATATTCTCGTGCAAATACATATCACAGTTTTGAAATACATTATTTACCCAAAAAGTGTGCAGTATCCATGCATATCTATATCACACTTCACAGGAAATAATAGCTCTAATACATAGTTACATTACTCCACGGTTCCGTGTGAAATAAGAGGCAGAACAATTCCACTCAGTAATGATAATTGTGATGTGACTGGTCACGTGGTTCACGTGACGTCAAAGTGTTACGTACTTTGACTGACCATAACAATAGTGTAGAAGGTAGACATATAATATCATCCCGTTTTTTTCGCTATGTCCTTAACTGATAGTATATTATCATTTGTTACCTGGGTTTGAGGTTAACATAACATATATTGTTTAATGGCGGAAATTGTAGGCGAATAATGACCGGAAAGTACTAAATGGGCTGTGACGTAAGCAGTAAACATCGAGATCTTGACCTTTGGGACTTTATTGAGTACATGAAAGTATAGAGAATAAATAGTAAAGATACAACAATCTATTTTAAACACAATCAGTCATTCTTAAAGAAACCAGGGCTGAAACTGTTTAAGAGGCTGGAAAATCCCCATCGTAGGATCGTGTTCAATTATACTTGCATGTCAATCTCTGGATACATGTGTAGATAAAAACACAGCTTTTACTGTTATGTAATACGTTTGTTTTTGTATAAAATGGAAAATAATTAGCAAATAGCCGGTATAGAACATTTTATGACTTCAGCTTGTCAGTTTTAGAGATTTACATACGATGACATTTGCATACAGATCCATATCTTTCTGTGTGTGTCAAAATTTGTAACTTATTAAAAGAAAAGTATGTAGATATTAAGTACTATGAATAAGTAAACAATACAGATCCAGCTGACAATTCAGCTATAACAGCGTATATATTAAAGGACTTGTTAGATTCTGAGAGATCGAAGGCTAAAATATATCTATGATTTGATTGGTGATTTACGATAGTATTAGCATACACACGTCGGCATTGTGATATTTACGTGTACATGAGGGTAAAGAAAGAATTGATAATACATTTTTTATTAATTCTGAAGCAGAGCTAGCTGGCTATTTTGTCTATTTTGTGATTATAACAGGTTAATACATGATTATATTGATTACGACCTCTTTATTAGAGAAAATTTAAGTGATACAGCTGAATGTAGATGCGTCAACCCATGTGAAGACTTTTAGCACTATCTTTGTGTTTGTCCCTTATACACTCAGGGCCGAAATATATTTATAAGACAATTACAACCTTTATGTGATAATTTCAGTTTAGATTTACTCGTATGTGATTATCAGATATTAGGCAAAGATGATAATATCTTATTTGTAATATCTTATTTGCTTACATCAGTTAAAAATCATGTCAACCAAAGCAAACGGTTTGACTTAACGTGACTCTCTCTGTTTGTCCGCCCGTCCGTCCGTCCGTCTGTCTGTCTGTCTGTCTCTCTACCTACATTCCACATAAACTATCATTTATCAATACATTGTGTAACTTGCCTTCTCGATTTATTGTTTGTAATTATGATGCACTTTATAATGAGAACATTGATTTCTAGAGCTTTGTTCACGTGACAATCCAAGCTTGCTAGGGAAACCGCATTTGATTTCTATTTGAAGACGTGCTCTGATCTGCTTTCGTATTCTTTGTGTACAGCGACAGAGTCTTAAATGCGTTCTTTAAAATCTGTTCACTTCAAAATACACTTATTTACGAATACTAATGAAATCAGAAATCATTGTGTATCGTGATATAGGTAACGTATATTGAACGCATGTAAAACATATTCGCTACACCAGAACACAATAACTTCAAAATCTCACCATATTGCAGCCTTTTTCGAGAAAATACTGCTGTGTAGTTGGTTATTTTAAACATGAATACCTCTCGATAGGCTGGATTTATTAGTTGCATTGGATTTCAAGTGAAACAGCAACATGTATGCAAATGACTGTATACCCATACAGATGACTTCATGAAACCCGTTTGAGAAATACGTGAAAGGGAGGATGGTGGGCGTATCTTTGCCTCAAAAGGAGGACTTCAAACATATGTCCAAGTTTGACAACATATCTAAATATGAAAACTGGATTTCTGTCGATATTTCCACTCTACGCTTGATCAGGAACAACGGATCATAAAAGAAATAAACAATGACTAGAAAGGTTAGTTTTAGTTTCCGGCCGATTGGAACATCGAGAAATGCTGATTTATTTATCTTTATTCACTTTCTCTTTAAGTTTTTATCATTGCAATGCAGTGAAATGTTAAAAATGTCTGTGACTGGTTTATTTTCATTAACTTATATGTGTCACCGTACACT